CCAAGACTGCTCGAGAACTTGTTTGTTAAAATTCCTACTAGTGTTGTGATAGAATCTTTGCATTTATTTCAGTCAGAAGCAAGATGATTATCCTTCTAATCCTGGCATGCTTGAAAGTCTCATGTCATGCTCTTGGATCATTCTCCTTGCTTTGGACTTGAAAGCCTCAATGCTTTTAGCCATTGTAGCCATTTCTCCTTTCTGTATTGCACGATCATCATGGAGCTCTTATTTTTGACGGCTACATAGATGTGTCAGCATTATTTTTAAGCATAAGAGTAATACAGGAAAAGGCATTAGTTTCTTGTTTCAGTTCTTTCCAGAAGGTGGAAGTATTTTATGTGCAGGCAGCCTCTAAACTTCTTCACCTATGAGATGCAGTGTGGTATGATTCTTTGTAGTTCATACAGGATATGAAAGGATAGAACTGTCTAACCATTTTGTTCTTGGAGTTTAGTATCAGAAATATCATTTTAAATGATAAGAATTGCCAGCTAGAATCTTGATGTTACTTGCTTCTGGTAGCAGGTCCCAAACCACTGACAAAGCTTTGTCTTTTCTTTCAAGTTTGAGGCCAATAGCTGTAAAAATAGTTTGAAATAATTGCCTTTTTGGAGTTTATGCTTCAGAAAACTCCCTTTCCCCTAGATGATGAGGTCTTTGTTTCTGAAGCTATTAAAGACAGGAAAGCAGGGCTGAAAGAAAACCCTAGATAAAAGTGCTAGGCATGTATTTAGTATTCTTTTAAATTCAGATGTTTCCTGGTGGTAAACCTTTTGATAAAGGTAAAAGGGAACCCATTTGGACAAAGAGTCCAGTAGCAGATTCTTGATTCCTGTTTAAAGACTTAAACCTTGTTTTTTTGATAACACTTTTGCATCACTTGCTTTGATAACACTTTGGATCCAGGTTTGATTCCACCTGTGATTCCACACTGATCCAAACTCCAGAGAGAACCTGCTTGCAATACAGAACAAAAAGCTACTTTCTGCTTTGAGAGGAGGCCTGCTTTGAAGGGAGGCCTGCCTTGCAGCAGCTTTCATTTCTCAATTGAAGAGGGTGGTTAGATGGTTCTGGCCACAGCAGGACTGCAGGATCAGTAAAAGTCCTGTCAAATAGGTTTTGGTAATTTTTGCTGATCCAAGATGTTTTTTCCTTCCCCATACTATTTCATTCAGGATCTCTCAGTAGGAGGTGATCATCAACTAGAACAGTGTCTTTATATCAATGAATTGCTCTGATGGCCTATTTTACAACCAACAATAAAACTGCTGTCATCCAGATATAAACTGCTATCTTGGAGAGGGGGGAAAAAAAAAAAATCACATAGGCCATCTTCTAAAGTCAGTCCAAATCAAATTGTAAAGAGGCGCTGGTGGTGGTGTTTCAGCCTGCCTACATCAGCAAATGCTCTTCTGGATGTAAAACTGCATAGGCAATCTGACTGAAAAATGCAAATTTCAATTTCTGCAGGGCAGTTGCCTGAAATTATTTTTTTTGTGATGCCCCCAGATATTACACTGTCAAAGCACTGCTCAGTCATTGATCTTGAAAGTCTGAAATCCTACCTTCCTGCCATAATAGCTTTCCATTGCCCTCCAAATGCTTCCAGTACTCTCTGGTATTGGGGTCACACAATCTTCATGTTTGGGTTTGGCTCTTTCTTGTTTAGGAAATGTGTTGGAAAGGAAGGCGCGTGGCCTTGTAAATTAAGTTTTGAGGGATGCTAGACTTCATAGTCACTCTATACATGGCCTCAGGCATTCTGTTGAGGCAAGGATAATAAAACCTGTGTGCTTAAAGCAGTAAATGCAAGGCTCACTGTCAACTAGTCTGTAACTTTGAACTAGTTGTAGTACATGTTACCCTTAGTAGGCAAATAGATGTGCTGAAAGCGCTGCAGGAAGTGAGAGAAAAAAGGTGAGAGGTGTTCAGGGAGGTGGGGGAGGAGAGGAGAAAAAACAGCTATTGCAGTAAAGCCTGGGTTGGAATTCATTTGGGGCTAGAAGTATAGTAGAGATCTCAAAATGAAGTGAACAAACCACCCACTTTGCTGATTCCACAGCTTACATAATTATTTGTCTTTCAGTCACAAATCAACTTCCATGGCAAAAAGCTGAAACTGGGGCCAGCGATTAGAAAACAGCAAAACTTGTGTAAGTGCTTACAAACTTGATTTACAGATATATTACTTCCTATAGATTTACATCAACATCCTTGCAAGTGACTTTATCTGATGTAGGATGTATATTACAATTAAGTTGTGAGTTTTTATGAACTCACTGCTTGTATGGTGTTGCAGAGTATTGTATTAAAAAAATGGCAACTTGGTTCCTAGCATGTTGTCTGCAAATACAGTACAATGGATTGAGTCAAAACCATAATGTAAAATATTTTAAAGCTTCTGCAGACTCAATTTACTGTTCAAATACTCAAAAAGCTCTCTTAATACTTTTTTCTTTGCTTTAAACAAGGTTCTTATATGCACCCCAGACCTTTGGTTTTTAATCCTCCTGCACCACAGTTTCATAGTGTGTGGAGTAATCAAAACACAGAGCCATATATGCAGCCTCCAGCTGTGATGAGTCCAGTAACTCAGTATGTTCAGGTAAGGCTGTTGATGCCACTGACTTGTGAATCAGAAATGTAAGCACATACAGCTTGTGGAGTATATTTTGGGATTCTACTTTTATCCTACATGCTCACTCTCCTAATACATCCCCCAGTAGATATTGCTCCTGGCTTCAGACCACTTGAAATGCTTTAGCAGAATGCCAACAAGTTTGAAAAACTTGAGCTTACTTAATGATGTGTTTTCTTTATAAAAAGAAAACACAGTAAAATTGCACACTTGTTATGGAAGGTGAAGCTAAGATTAATTGTATAACAGCTCTTCAGTGGTGAGATAGAGCTTTATAAATGCTCATCACACATCCAGTGCCTCCATGTAATTACTGCAATGCTGCCTTGCCTTAAGTGCCAGTGAACCACAAGCTTTAAAATGTAGTTTGGGGGTGGGGGTGGAATTTGTGTTTCCAGTAATTGTGAAACCAGAGGCTGGCTGTGGCATTCTTTATTTTCTTTCTACTGGTCAGGCAAGACTTTGTTTCTGGATTCTTGCCACAGTTTGGTGATACTGTGTTATGTGGAAATACTGTATTTTGGCATCTGTTAAGGCTATGAGCAACACAGGGTGTATGCCTACAGGATGTCACTTTGTTGATACTTCCCAGGTATGGTCAGAATACTCCAGGTCTTCTTGAGGGTTCTGTACTCTCAGTATCTGTGGGAGGTTCTCTAGTGTGCTTTTTTTTAATAAAAAAAAAAATTAATATATTTTGTGTAGCAGTTGTAGATGAGTAAACTGCAGTGTTTCAGGAAAATTCTTAGAGCGTTTGATCAGCACTTTTGCTGATACTGTAAGTTGGTGGTAGAGGGGAAATAGTTTGGGAGGAAGTAATTCTCAAGTGCCTGTATGCTTTTATTTCTTGAAGCATCTGGTGGGATTCTAGGTTAATGTTTTGTCAAAATATCTGTAATAAAGAAATGCTAGGAAACTCCCTAAATTCTGCTGTTTACCTTTGGCTCAGAACTGATCTTCAGAGTATAAAACGTTATTTTGTAGTAGCTTGCTTACTTAGTTCAGATGTATTTTATAAATATAATGGGGAAAATCATATTTCTGAAGTGACATCAGCCACATAGGTTTTTTTTACATGTGTAGCGCATTAAAATCCCACTTCTTGCGGATTTCTTTTTCCAGTAAAAAGTGCTTAAAGTCTTATTGGAAATCAGGGAGTTGTAAGGTTTTTGTAATAATGTCTTCTGGAACTGGAATTCTAATGATTATGTTTCAAACTTTTCCTTGCTTTTTTAAATATCTCTGCAAAGAGGTGGGTTTTTTATCTTGTCTCAAACTTGCATTCAAGAAATGGTTTATTTTACAGACATATCCATACAGTTCACCAGCTCTGTTGATACAGCAACAAGTTCCTGTAGGATATCAGCCAGCTTACAACTATCAGGTATGTAATCGCTTAGCTTAGGAGAGAAAAAGAAAAAAAAGGGTTATTTGGTGACTGAGCACTCCAGAATCCTTGACAAAGGGTTTTTGGGTATTAAAAACTTGCTCGATCTGTTTCATTTTGTCACATGAGTGCTGTAGAAGTATTAAACACTAGCAAAAAGGAATAGCTTAGCTAGCTATTCCTTGTTATTTTAAGGGGTTTCATTTAGAAATGGTTTTGCATTTAAATGCTAAGGATTTAATAATGCCACATGAATTATCAGCAGATAGCACTTGTTTCAGGAGGATGCTTTATTTAACCTGTATGTTGCCTGTGGGTGTCACAGGTTCACTGCTTGAATCCTTGTTCCTTGGTTATCTCCAGTTTAACCTACTGAAGTGCCTCATGATTCTCTCGCTTCCTGTACACCTACCAAAATTTGCAAGGGATATGAGTGTGTGGAGCAACAATGTGGGTCTGGGACTCACCCTTGTTGCTTATCTTAATTCTATGCCAGGATGTGCATCAGAGCCTGCGAAATGCATCTCACCTTGGTGTTCAAATGATGGTTTGATAGCTCAAAATGTAAGAGTTTCAATTATGTAGAATAAAGGGCAAAGTGAACAATAGCTAATTTTTTGGATACACCTAAAATGCTCCCTACATTATTTTATACTTAACTAGGTTATGTTTAAGTGACTCTGGAACTACCATAAATGTAGTAGATATGTTCTAATAGACTATGTTCTAGTACAACATAGCAAGCTGCTACATAACTTTTTTAAAATTTTGTAACAGTAAAACATCTTCCAGGTCAGCAAAAATATAAAATGTATGGATCAGTAACACGTTCTTAATAGAAAATTTTACCTCTCAGTGTTTTGAGTAGTTGATGTTGGTCACCTAAATGGAACAACCGATAAGTTTTTATCAGAACATCACAGAATGTGCTCTTCAACTCAAAAATGTATGAAAAGATGCTTAATTGGGGAGTGACTTCGGAATTTGTGAAACACGCGGGTAGACGTGTGTGTGTGCGCGCATACACACACGCCTTTTTCTTTTAGAGGAAACTAGATATTTCTGTGTTACTGTGATTACATTTATCTTCCTAATCTTTGGAAAAAATTTTGTAGCTTGGAATGAGAAGGGGTGTGGGGTACTTGAATTTGAGCAAAGCCTTGTGCTAAATACAATGTACACATGTAAAAGCTGTCTTGGTAATGGAAGACAGTAAGGAAAATGTCCAGATAAAGCACTGATAAACAGAATTGTGAAATACTATATACAAATGTTGCTCGTACAGAATATTTGTGTGGGAAATAATGTGAACCAAGACTAATTCTTGTTCAATCTTTGTTTAAGGTTCAACCACAATGGCTTGCTGGGGAGCAAAGGAATTATGTTATGCCTCCGGTAAGCTCACAGATTTTTTTAGTTAGAAAGCGTCAGCTTTTCAGCAAGCACAACATTCTGCCTGCTTGATGGTCGCTCTTGACTGTGCTGACCAGATGTGTATGGAGGTCTGGTCTATATAGATCTACGGTGGCTGACAAAGTAGCCAGTTGTTTAGGATATCATATTTACATGGCAAAGCAAACCTGCCTGCTTTGTGATGTTCCCTTATGCTTTCTGAACACAGAGTTCTGGGAATTCAGCTTGGAATGGATTTGGTTCTTTGTGAAAAGCTGAAGAAAAAACAACTGGTGGCTGAATGCATCCTTTAGTATTTTTCCAAAAAAGAACGATATGCAATAAGACTTTGCAGATTATTTTAAAATAAAGACCTCTAAAATATTTAGCTCTGCAAATGGTGATGATTACTGATTTAACAGCTGTTTAAACAATTAGGGTGTTACAGTCTGTAGATGGTGAGATCCACAAGTGCGATTCTGTACTGCTTCAACACCGACCAGGATTGGTATTCACTTAAGAACTTTTTAATGTATTCTTTGAACACTGTTTAATTTACTCAGTGCAGTTTCCATTAAATATCTAGGAACCATAATACCTAATTTTCTTTTGAATAGTATTTTTCAAGCTAATTCCCAGTAGGCATCTGTAGAATATACAGAAGGTAAGTAGAAAAATGAGGGAAAAATGAAATACCATGCATTATGTCTGTGATCAGATGTGACAGTTCTTCTCTGATCATACTAGAGAAATACTTCATTAATAACATCCCTGAACATCAAACAGCCACAATGTATTACTTGCTAATTAAATGATAGTAAGCCAGAGTGTTTTAGGGAAATTGTAATGGCTTTTATTAGACTTCAAAAAACATGTTTATAGGAGAAAACAGTGTTTCCAGAACTCTGAAACAGCTTCAAGTGTCATTCCTTACAGACTCCAAAGCCACCGCCATGCGTGGAGATAACGTGTACTTGTGTATTTGTTGATTGGAGTTTGCTCATAGAATGCCCCAATCGTGTGTGATATTTTCTGCTATCGTGTGTATAGGGAGAGCGCTTAGGAAGGAGCACGGCATCTGGCTGCTCACATCGTAGCTTCTATATCTCTCAACACTCAGTTTAAAATTTTACTGGTGAATGCTGGCCTTTGCGATGTGTGCCAGCCGCATCCTGCATTATGTGGCAAGTAACGTCCTCAAGAGTGATGCTCTGAGCAAGTGAAAACTACTGTTCAGAAAACTACTGTTCAGTCTGGGTGTACTTGGCTGATTTCAGAAAGGAACTTTTTCACCCAAAAAGTGAGAATGCCATTGAGATTCTGGTAAAATTAGCTGTAAAAGCCACTGATCCTGTCAGAAAACATTGGGAAGGATGTTGCTTTACCAGCCTCTTGACTGTTAAAACAGATCCTTGCACCAGGCTGCCAATGGCAACATTGCATTACTTAAATAAATAAATGTGTAGCTGCTGGAGGTTAAATAATCTGACAAAACTAGAAAACTGAGAAAAATCTTACCTGAAGTATAACGGCAAAGCTGGCACGGCTTACAGGTGACTCTGCAACTCTAAACTTTTTCCCGATGTAGATTGCAGGGGAACATGCAGATATAAACAAACTTTAGCTTTCACTAGCTAACTACACTATTTCAAAAACTATGCAGGTTTATACTTCAGTAAGCTATCACTATAGTGAAGATCCTGACTTTATCCAGACAGAATGTGCTGTTCCAGAGCCCCCACAGTCGTCTAGTAACAGTCCACAAAAGGTAAATGCTTTAAAACTTCAACTTTTTTTTTGTCTTCATAAAACCTAGTCCCAGAAACTCAGCCAGAGGTGTTGGGTTGCTTGATAGAGAGGGCCTGTGGCAGGTATCCTGGAATCCTAGAAATGAAGGTTAGAATTGCTGCTGCAATCAGCTGCTTAATCCAATGTGTGTCTCATTTGTTTGCAGTGTCAAAATCCTCACATTCCCTTGAAGTAGTTAGCACTTGTCTGCAGCAATGGGTGCTGTACAATGTGTAATTTGGTGGCCTTCTTAATGAAAGACAGCAGTGTTTTTGAATGGCAAGGCTCTGTTTAATCCCCCAAGAATGACAGGGGACACTGCAGGTACTGAAAAATAGCAGACAGTTAGCATCTACTGCTGTGTTATGCAGATTCTATGAGTCTTGAAATAGCTGAGCAATTTTAATGCCATTACCACTTTATTCCTGTGTTGGTCAATAGCAATTTTTGAATTTTGTCTTAGAAGTTGGAGTAGTCTGGCATAAAAATAAACTAGTGTGCTATTGAACAAACCTAGTAACCTCTGAGGGTGGTAATATAAATTTTGAATGTTTGAAGATTTAGAAAAAAATCTTGGGAAACAAAGGACTGAGAGCAATATTGAGCAAACCGTGTGATGCAGATGCATTGCTAATATTGGGCTAACTAGTATCAGTAGTGTGGTAGATGGGCATGTAACTATATTTCAGAAATCTGTGGACAGGAGCATACAGACAGTAGTATCCTGCCTGTTCAATCCTGAGAACCGGCTGAGAAACACTTTTGTCTCGCAAGAAGACTACTTTAAGGTATGTAGTGAAAGTGAGATGAAATTCTTAGAGAAGAGCTGGTCTCAGGTACTCAGTTACACGATACTATAAAGATGCTCTTATGTGGCTCCATTTGGGATGTGGTGATTTTATGTTGGGTGGTGGGTTTTTTCCCTTGGTGATGTTTTAAACCTCTTTTGGGAGATACTGATTGCAGTAGTTGGCTGCCAGATGCTTAATACTGGAAAGAAGTACTCAAAACAGGGCATCTGTTTAAGTGTGTTAATACAAGGCTACATAGAAGTTGCAGCAAGCTGCTCATAGGTATTTAGAGCATAGGAAGGCAAACTATTCCTAAACAACAAACTACTGAAAGGACAGCAGGTTATTCCCTAGCCTTGCTCTGGAGAATGTTGAGTTTAAATGTTGACAGCTGTTTTCACCGGTTATGATGGCTAACCATAATAGTGTAAATTAGCTGCACTTCAGCTGATAAATAATAGTCCAGATCATCTTGTACAACACTGACTCCCATTGATACATCTTGAATCGATGGGAAACTCTTTTGCTGCCTCTGTCATGGTAGAAGCTTCTAAATCTTGAATGGCTTTTTCTTTCTGTTTTCTGTTAGGATTTTGACATTCTATTTAAGTATATTTTGCTGCTTGTTTTTTTTGACAGACCTGTTGAGGCATCTGTATTCTGAAGCAGGAGCTGTGGAGGCTATATTAACCGTTTTTTGGAGGGGAATTGATAGAGTACCAAATGCCTGAGGATATAGTATTAATGAAACTCTAGTTGGTCCATTCCAAGTAATGCTATCTAGTAACACTTTTCCCCCTGTCTTTCTCCTGTTTCATTCCAGGAGAGAAAGGTGCATCACTTCAGAAGAAGCCGAGCAGTGCTCAAAAGTGTTTGATTGGCAACACTGAAACTTTGAAGTACCTAAGTTCGTTATCTTCATGTTACTGCAGTTCAGTTTAGTAAGATTTGTAGTATCGTGTGACCTTTTTCAAAAAGTTGCTTCAAGTTGAAGTTAGTGTTGATATTCACCTGTTCAGAAATGTTATTTTTGTTTGAGCAGTTTGAACAGTTTGAAGTTGTAAGAGTTTGTAAGTTTGCATGTTCTATTACTAGTTTGCATGCTTCCCCTTCCTTGATACTAGAATGTTTAAATGCAAGAGTTCATATGGGCAAAGCACTTTTGGTTAACTTAATTTATGTGAATTTTCTTCTGAGCTTTAAGGTACAGTTTGTTGCATGTTACACTTAGTTTCTCTTAAACCACAACTTGAATATCTAACAAGTTACTAACTTTGACCACTTTACCTCTTATAGCCTAAAAGCTGAAGCAGTTACTTGCCCAAGAGGTAGAATTTTAAAAGTGTGCTCTTAATCAGTGGAACAGAAGACATCAAGTTGTAACTCAGTTGCAGCCCTTAAAGTCCTGGTTCTCTTTAGACTACCTAATCAATGTAGTTATGTTCATTAATGGCAATTTATTTACCCGGAGTCCTGAGCATCACTCTTAGTTTTGGGAGAGTAATTAAGAGAATCCTAAAATTCCTGTTCGTAACTTAAGAGAAGATGTAAGAACATAATTAGCTATAGCAGCTACTCAATGGAGTATGCTTTTTTTACTGGAAAAATTTTAGCAATGCCTGTATCTTAAAATTGTGAGAAAATACTGCATTTAAAATGTCTAGTTTTGTTATGTGATGCAAACTGTTAATCAAAGAATATTTGTAAGCATATTTTAATAATGATGTAGATTTTAGTCTTGTATTTTGAAACAATTAAAAAATAAATTTTTATTTTGACTTGGCATCCCTACTTTCCAATGATCTCTTAATGTAGAAACAATTCTAGGATATTTGAAAGACATACAGCATAGTAAAAATGTATTGATGCTTCTGAAGGCTTACTAGGCTATATGATGTCAATTACACAAGTTTGTAGTACCGAGTTTAGCTTGATAATAGGTCTTAGATGCACTTTTTTTTGGAAAGAGTAAAATTGAACTGTGTGTGCTTTTTGTGTATGTTGGGTGCTGTCATCTTTTCCTCCTCTCCCTCACCTCCTCATCTTCCTCTCCCCAAAGGGCTGCATGTATGAATCTAAGTGCAGTGAAATGTTCTGCTTTGAATTTAACAGGATATTCAAAAGTAGTAATGGCTGTAGAAAGACTGAATAGAAACAAAGATCAATGAAATGTAATATGAAAAGGGAACCAAGTTGCAGTGAATATGGATGTTTGGAGGATTATAACTCTACAGCATGTAAAAAGCAAAAACTTGCTTCTCAGGGGTGTAATTTTAATAAAAGAGTAAGAATTGGGGATACTCATGTTCCAGAAGCATAAATTGACCTGAAAAAAAAAAGCAAAGCTGTTAGCCTTTCCTCTGCACAGAGACCGCTCCATGTCACTAAAGATGATTTGTCACCAAATATGCTGTTATAACATTATCAAATCACCATGCCTTTTTTTTTTTAATATACTGTTTACGTAATACTACCGGTTTGGTATAGCTAACTACTATGTTACCATCTTCTTTATAGTTTTTTACTATTTCATACTGTTAAAACCTGTATTAAGGTCTGGCATTTTCTTTCTGACCATCAGGACCATTTCCTTTGCATCTTTAAGTGCCTGTGCAGCCTGTTCAGTTTGTTCCAGCTGTGGTGTCAGATTATTGATGAAGGTAACTGTTTCTTTTGAAATGCAGATTTCCTCTAGGCTAAATGTTTTAGTGGGCTTGATTGCCCTGGGATGTATTTGAGACTTTATGCTGTAGCTGTAAGAAAGCATGAAGTGCCTGTGCTGCTGCTTGAATTTCAGCACCAAGAGAAGAGATAAAAGGAAGATGTGTGCATAGAGTACATATTTTATATTTATTTGACCAAGTGCTACCAATCAGACCATCTGGTGAGTTGATTGTTCAGTATGTTTGAAATGGCTGTGCTGGACAGGAACTGTTCTTGCGAGCATGCTGAGAAGGCTTGTCGTAGTGAAACGCATAGCCCAGCCCTTAAGAGTGCCTGTCATTTTCCCTTCCATTAGATCATGCTGTGTTTGTTAGCCATTTCTCACCCATAGGAAACTCTTTAATTTTTTTTTATTCCTACCTGGGAATTGTACATTTTGTGGCATATGCCAGTAAAAGTAACAAGTTATAACTAAGAACATGCATTTTAATGGTCTTTTGAGGTACCCTATAAGCATAACACAAAAGCAGTAGGTAAATCTGTTTTGTATTCCATTTGGAAAGTTAAAACATCTGTTTATTGTGGTTGTAGCTGAAGGCATTACCAAAATAGGTGTGCAATTAGTGTAACTTGCAGATATGTATCACTTGAAATTAACCCAAATGGAAGTGGACCATGTTAATTGCTAACTAGTAGTGAGGTTCCTGTCAGTCTGCCCTGGTGACTGATGTTTTCCTCCTGTAAGCAAAGAGGAGAGACTTTTTTTAAATCTTTAGACAAGGTACTGTGTAAATGCAGACATTTTGCTGCCTATAAAATAGAGTCCTAAAGCCATGTGATTCTTGAAGAGCTCTATCTAGTGAGCTGCTTGGTGCTGTGACCCTTCCTGTTGTTTTCACAATCTCAGCCACCTGACAATCACTCTGAGCCAGCCAGCCAGATGCTATCCCTGGATCCCCATTAGTGATAGTGATAGTCTGGCGTGGATGCAAGCTTGCTGTCAAAAGGGAAATATTTTTCCCTTGTGTGCTAAACTAAGATGCTAACTTCTTTCTCTTACCCTAGAGGGATTATCTACCTACAGTGAGATAAAAGGGTCTTCCCTTAATTGTATTTCCCATGGTCATCTTTGGCAAGCCTTAAAGGAACAGAAGTCTTCCCTCCAAGTTGGCTAGTGAGTAGGTGCAGGCTCTGTAGTTCTGGCAGATATGTGTTAGTAGACCAGTATTTTGGGATGGACAGAGTATAATGTATAAACTGCAATGCTTGCTACTTTCAGTGGAGCTGAAAAAGTGAGGAAAAAGTGAGGATTCAGACTAAACCCACTGAGTGTTCGGACTACCTCACATGAAACATGCAATTCCCTGGAAAAAGCCTCAAGTTGACTTTTTTTTAAAAAAAAAAAAAAACACTAGGCTGCATCTAGGTTGGAGAATGCGTTTCACTAGGTACATTTACCTTTTGCTTCATTTCTGCTCTGTTTGGGGTGAACTTAAAATATTATAACAAAAATAACTTCTTAGGAGAAGAGGCACTTTGTTTAAACAGAGAAGGCTCTAGAAGGACACCAGCTGATATAGTGCAGGCCTTCTTGTCCCAGTGACTGTTCTGTTAGTTTTACTGCTGTGAATAAGTTCACAGTAGTAATTCTGTAGTGCAAACTTTGACGTACTGGGTGCTCACAATATGCGAGACCAATGAGAAAGGGTTATTCATCCTTTACTCTTTGCTAGAGTCTCAAATTTATTGAAGACAGACTTTATATATAAAAGTACATAACTGTAAGTTATGATGTTAGCAGTACTGAGGATTAAAAAAAAAAACCCTTTATCCATAGTGTTCTATTACTAACAGTGGAAAAATGGAAAATGTTAAACTCTAAAAAACCTGCAGTTGCATAGTCTAGTAAAAAGTGCATGCTGTATTATGCTGCGCTTTGTTTGCATGGTGTGTGTAGCTGGTGAGCATATTTGTTTTCCTTGTGATAATTTTGTTGAGGTCTAGAAGAGGTCATAGTTCTGTAGCACTCCTTTAAATCACCATCACTGATTTGTTTCAAAAAAAATGAGCCCAAAGTGACATTTTACTGAAGCCAGCAGTGATATACCCCGTGGGTTGTGATAGAGATGCTGTTCAGGGCTAATACCCTGTCTGTGGGCCTACAGCAGGAGGTAGAAGGTAGTTCTGCTGAAATGCTCCTGAAGTTAGTGAAGCTGCATGAGTACTGTAGTTCTTAGGGGATGTAGGGTTTATTTAAATACTGTCAAGATCAACACTGAATTTTTCTCTGATCACAAAAGTACTTTTGCATGAAGTAATTCATGGCTAGGGCAGTTGCTTGTTTTCTGAGGCCCTGAGTAAAGGAGGTGAGGCAGTGGTTTTTGCCTACTGGAAGATTCAGTGATGGGAACTTTGAACCAAGAGTAGAAACTGTCTCCTGAAATACTTGCTTTTGACCAAAACAAAGTCCTGCTGTGATAAAAATGTATCCATCTCAGAGGCGTTATTGGAGTAAACCCTTCCAATGGCCTCCTGGCTCACATGCCCCGTGTTACCTGTAAAGGAAGGATACCGGGCTGTGCTTTGCAGGCAACAGGCTGCCCCACGTAGTGTCTTCACGGAGCCGTTAGAGGGCTTTCACATTTAGTGCTGTGGAAAGATTGTACTGAAGTTGCAAGAAGAGACCAAACTGGGGATGCACTTAAAATATATTAGGATGAACTTAAATTTGCAATTTGGGTGAAAATACTGGCCAATGTTTGCTTAAACAACATACAGGCAAAACTTCCCTCTTGTGAGCAAGGTTTCACTTGCTCTGCCTGCTCTTAAAAGTAATTAATATTCTTCATTTGAGTAAAAACCCCAAACTGGCTTGCAACACCACAGTTAAAAATCGAGCAGTTTTTTTCCACATTAGTAGATGTTTCCCTTGCACATATTTATGCACATGAGTTTACCAATACAGTACTAAATGTTAGGAATGCTAATTAAGGTTTCCTGATAATGATACTGATAGTACTTTTAAAATAAGTTGCTTATCTCTTTAAGCAGATTGAGAAAATCAGTGTCTTCTAAGGAAAAATGTTACACAGTGCTGCTATGTTTTATAAATAGATCTTAAAGAGGGTTAAATAGTGGCAGTTTCACAAATGATACCTTGGTGTATGTAGTCTTGTCAGCTAGTGAGCTGCGGAGCAGCTGTGGAGCTTTGCT